CCAGGATGTAGGCTCCCTATTTATCTCTCTTATTGTTTCTTTTGCTGAGAAAAAACTTTTTAGTTTGAGTAAGTCCCATTTGTTGATTCTATTTGTTAACTCTAGCGCTATGGGTGTCCTATTGAGGAATTTGGAGCCCGATCCCACAAATAGATATAAAGTCAAAAAGAAGCAGACCAGCTTTCAGAAACATTTAGCTGTCCTTCAAAATATTCAAGGAAAATTTTTTTAAAAATTTTGCTTTCTATCTTTTTTTTTTTTTGCTTCCCATTGTGCATTATAGTTGATAGGATTTGTTGTTACATTTTCATACCTGCACACAGTACAACAATATAATTTGGTCACTATTACTCCCAGCTTTTCCACCTTCCCTCCCTTGACTCCCATCCTCTGGTCCCTTTCCTCTCCTAAACGCCCTTTGATTTCCATGAGACCCCACCAGTCCACCTTTCTTTTCCTTTGTAGCTTCTGCATATGAGAAAAATCATGTGTCCCTTGACCTTCTGAGTTTGATTGACTTCACTTAGTGTGATGGTCTCTATATCCATCCACTTTCCTGGAAACGGCGTAATTTGGTTTTCCTTTATGTCTGAATGAAACTTAATTGTGTATATTTACCATTTTATTCATTCTTTCATTGATGAATACCTAGGCTGGTTTCATACTTTTGGCTATTGTGAATTGTGCTGCTATAAACAGGCATTCATGTATCACTGTAGTAAGATGACTTAGGTTATTCAGGGCAAATCCTGAGGAGTGGTATTGCTGGGTCATATGGTGGTTTCATGCCCAGTCTTTTGAGGAGCCCCCATACTGATTTCCATAGTGCTTGTACTAATGCACATTGCCACCAACATTGTAAAACAGTTTAAAGGAAGATTTTTAACACTGAAATACTACATCCATCTTCTGTCCCCATTGCCAGATAATTAGGTCATTCAGATCTGGGGAAATAGCTATTTTTGCTACAAGATCCTCCCATGACATACACAGATAAGTCCGTTATCTGAGGGAAAACATCAGGAAATTTGCCCTTCATGTGACCTTGATCATGCATATATTTTTCAGGCCACTTGCTCCAAGAGAATCATAGAGATAGAGCATGGGAGTGAGGGGGGTGGGGAGGGGACTCACTGAAGCTCCAGTTCAGCTCTGAAAACTCGAGTTCTTGATCATTCCAAGAGAATACAGGAGAGACTCAGTTATGAGGTGTGGCCCCAAACAGAAATTCACAGTTATAAAAGCTGATACTGTTTATAAAGCCTAGGGATCTTTAAATTTTTGCTTCCCAGACAGTTCTGTATCTTTCATGTAAAAAAAAAAAAAGTTATATTTCTTACCAGCCTAATTCATAGCTACTTATAACCCTGAAAAATTTTTTGATGTTGGACTTTGATTGAACATGGTTGGGTATGTAATGAAAATAAAATTTGGTTTCCTCATAGAACTACTATAAAACAGCAAACTATAAACAGTCTTTTATATTAATAATATATTATATTTAGAAAGCAGATTATATGATATATGTATACTGTATTTCATTACAAGCTTAAAATATTCATGCACAGAGAAAAAATACATAGGGCATATACCACATTGTTTATAGTGTTATTCTGGGAAGTAGGATTATGGTGTATTTCTCTTCTTTTATGTGTTTTGAGAATATTGAATAATAAACATATATTATTTTGAAATAAAAAAAGGAAAGTGTTTAAAATTGGCTTCTAAGAGTTTAACAATTGAAAAGCTTGAGATCTATTGAGTCTATAGGTTGAGTCTAGATTATGCTGTTTAATATGGTGACTGCTGGTCGCAAATGGTTATTTTAAATTATGTTTAAGGGCTGGGGATGTGGCTCAAGCGGTAGCGCCGTTTGTCTGGCATGCGTGTGGCCCGGGTTCGATCCTCAGCACCACATACAAACAAAGATGTTGTGTCTGCTGAAAACTAAAAAATAAATATTAAAAAATTCTCTCTCTCTTTTTTTTCTCACTCTCTCTCTCTCACTCTCTCTTTAAAAAAATATTAAAAATAAAAATAAATTATGTTTAAATTAATTAATTCAGCTCTTCAATCATACTAGACACAAACATTCTTCCAATGCTACAGTTTCATTATCACACACACAAAAAAGTCTATTCCACAGCCCCGGTGGGGAGCAGGTTACCAAAGGATACTGGTTACCAAGAACAGAAGATAGAAAAGTGGTGTCAACTCCTTGTCACCAGTCCCTCTTGTACACCTCACTAACCTGTGACCTAATAAACTCAGAATTTCCCATTCAATTCACCTAGTTAGGGTCAGAGCAAAGATAGACAGACTCCTAATTCATAGCTCTTGCCTCCATATCAACAGCATCATCTTCTGCAGAAAACTGACACTCCTGAACAATGTTCAATTCAATTCAGTTCAGCAGGATTTCATAGACATTTTTTAAGTGTTGAAAATGTGATGTGCATCAGAATAGGCCTTAACTGTATCAAACCAAGTAAGAGAAATTCCCCTTATCCTTCCCACCCCCAAGGGATTTTGATGACCACAAATGGAAGGGTGTGCTGGGTAGAATGATAGCACAGTACAGGGACAGGCCTGTTTTCCTGGGAAATCCATAAATACTTCATATAGGTGGATATACTTGAGTTGGGTCTTGATATTTGGGCATCCAAATTCACAGATCAACAAATCTTTGAGATTCTCATTTTTCCGGGCTCCCAAAGAAGAGAGGCCAGACCCTGCTTTGGAATGCACTTGATCCCTGGCCTAACACTGTATTTCATTTCATGTGGAATAGTTAGATATGTTCAAGTCTCTGCGTTTGGACTGATTTTTTTTTTTATCTTTAGGCCTGGTTCCATGCATGTAAAATAATTTTTACATCTTCAAATGAAATTTTAAAAAGTGATGATTTTAAGATTTTGTCCTCCATTTTATTTTTGACTATATAAAATTAAGAAAAAAAATGTACATGAAACAGTTATTTTTCAGCCAGTTGTTTTGAAAATGTTTAAATGCAGATTAAGAACCTGGTAACTCCTGTTCTCAAATAAATCATGTCCCTGTATTTCAACAGATGCAATGCTCTTGGTGGCAGAGCGACTGGAAGGGCCTTTCAACATCGAGTCCGTCATGGACCCCATAGATGTCAAGATTTCTGAAGCCATTATGAACATGCAGGAGAACAGCATGCAGGTGTCTGCCAAGGTATTTGCATTAATAATGTATCTACTAACTTATGTACATAATACAGGTGCAGTAATCCAGAAGTGAAGTCACAAGATACATTGGCTGGGATGATAAATTGTAATATGCTGCCAATGAGCTTTTCCTGTTGAGCTAAATTTGCTACTTTGTGAAAAGTGTGTAACAAAATGGCATTGAGAAGGGAAGCCATTTTTTCCTTCGCAACCCCTTAATCATGACAAAATGACTGGCTACCTAGAAGTTTCAGTGAGCCCCAAGTATGCTAATGAATTCCCTCACGTTTGTGAGTAATTTGGGTGAAATTTTCTTTTTTCATGTTTGAAATGTCCACACACCCTCACCATGTTCTGTATCTCTAGTAACTTCTGACTTATCATCAGCTGTAAAGGTGAGGCACATGTTCTGTATGTTCAATTGTAAATAATTAAACATCCTATCTGGCTTCCTTTTAAGACTAGGTCAAATGTTCATTAATGAATCATCAGGGGCAAACGTTCCTTTGTATGGAGTCGAGCATACATTAAAAGGAAAAATGTAGTGCATTTTCATAAATCATATGAGACAGGACTCCTGGGCTTTCCGCTGCAGAACACAAAAACCAGGTGCACAGAGGTTTTTGATTTTTGTTGTTGTTGTTGTTTGTTTTATTTTGTTGTCTGCACCCAGTTGAAGATACATAGGACCCTCTTCAAGCAAAATCGAGACGTTTTCAGTGGGTCTCCAGCTTCCTCCTTCCTCAGCCCTTTCCTCCCACACTGTGCCTGCACAATGCCCTTCTGTTCTCTTTCCCAGTCTCCCTGTCAAGAAACACTAACGAAATCTATATCAGTCCTTTAAACCTAGTGACTGAGCGATTGCATTTTAATTGAAAGTCATTTGCACTAAAATATGTCAGGCAAAGAGTTGCATGATTAGCTTTCTTCAATTTTTAAAATCCTTTGTGAAAGAGATTTCAAATATAATCAAGCAGGAGGGGAGAAATTGCAAAGCAGAAAGAAAGCCATGGAATCCCCCTAGGTCTGTTTGGTTGAGCAAATATTTATTGAGAATCTACATGTCAGGCAGAGTTCAGGTTCTGGGGAGACAGGAGGGGACAAGGCACAGCTCCTACATGAACAAGGTCATGGCCCCCTTCTTTGCCTTTCAGCTGCTTCCCTTGCAGTGTGAGATCCAGACTCCTGCCAGGTCTTTCACTGTCTGGTCCCTGCCAACCTGTGACCTTCACTTCTTGTCATTCAACGCTGTGCAGCCATCTGGATTTTTCTCAGTACCTTGAATGTTTCTTTGCCCGTAATGCTTTACCTGCCAGTCCCGTTTCTGCAGGTCCCCCTTGTGATTCCCTATTAAAATCTGGGTTTCTATCCTACACTGGAAATAGACTGGGGTGCCGGGACTTGCTGCTTGGCCTTCCTTTGACTTCACTAGTGGGAAACTCCAGGGCATACAGGAGTCACTGATGTGTTCCTAGAACCCAGCTCGACACTTGGTGCAGAGAAACTCTCAACAAATAATAATTGAATTACTTAAAAAAAGAAAAAGAGGAGTAGCACTAGTAAGTAAACTCCAAACAACTTTTAAGAAATCAACCTTTTTCAAGGATTGCTTATATTACTTTTAATTAGTTTTTAAAAATGGAAAAACAGAAAACTACATATTTATAGTATACGTGATGTTTTGAAACAGCTATACAAAGTGGAGTGGATAAATTAAGCTGATTAACATATGCATTATACTTTACATCCTTCCATATATTTTTTGTAGTGAGAACACTTTAAATCTAGTCTTTGAGCAATTTTCAAGCATACAATACACATTGTTGTTAAGTATATTTCAAATCAAGTATTCCATCAGAAATTCTCCAAGTCTGGCGGACTCTTTAGAATGTCAATGAGATGTTTTTGTGGATTTTGTCCAACTACATTAGAATACTATTGCTGTTAATAAAAATGTCCTTTGAAATGACATATTTCTTTGTAAGAAATGCTAAAGTCAAAAGGAGAAATAATACAAGGCACATAAGAGTCTATTGGCACAGGGGATACAATAAAAAGGGTCATGTAATAATAATACAAAAACATGTCCAATGGACTGGCAGCAAGAGTGTATCTGGTAGGTGTGGCATAGAGGAAAGACAATGGAGGAAGTTAAAAAGAGGAAAGGAAAGAGGATCAGGACCTGCAAGATGGCGTTGAAGAAGAGCCAAATCCAGCCTTTAATATTGTGGTTAGAATTGGGATAAATTTAACAGGAAACACCAATAGGATTGGCCAGTGAACAAACATGTTCTGAAAAGAGGTTTTATTTCATCAGTGGAATGGAATTTTCTTCTAAATTTAGATATATATGGTCTCGTTTTCCATATAAGCCACATCCATGGAATTCTACATGAAGGGGAATCTAAAATGTACATGCTAGCTAAGAAGTAGTATTTATCCTTTTTCTAAAAGGAATCCTTAGTCACTGTGGATAAAGACTCTCATTAAACTTGAAGTTCTGAATTTCCATACTGGGACTGGAGTATCTACCTAGAGATACTGTTCACTTCCGATCGGTAAAATTCACATGTGGCCAAGAGCTATTTCTTAATTGGGGGCAGGACACTCTGAGAATTAGAAATCTGTTTACACATTAAAATGACTTTTTACTCCAGGATATGATTAGTACCTTTTCCTTTGAAAATCATATATTTTATTAAAGCATTTACTGATAGAAGTCATTTCCAAAGCCACTTAAGAAAACAGCAATATATATAACTGCCAAATCATATTTATTGAGCACATGCTGCCAAACAGCGTACTAAGTGCTTTTCATGGTTTACATTATATGATATCTATAAAAATGCTGTGATGAGTTTATATTTCCCCATAGTTTTCAGACAAAGAAACCAAGACTTGGAAAAGTAAAGAAACTTATCAAGATCTCATGGTGCCGTGGGTATTCCAAAGCCCATCTTTCAGATCAATATATTACAATGAGGCTGATGTCTGCAAAGTGAATCTCATAGGAGGGTAGAATTCAGTGAATATTTGCTCAGTAAATCAAGTCTTAAGAGAAGGTTTCACAACCTTCAGTAAAACCTGCATGACAAGGTAGAGAAACAGAAGTGGCAAAGGCCGGTGAACTCAAGCTGTCGTCCTGATTCCCTTTACAACTGTATCTACTACTTCCCAACATGACAAATTCTGATTAAACATTTATCTTATCCATCCTAATCACTCATTCCTTCCAACCTTTCCTAGAATTGTTATAGTAAAAAATATAAAATTCCTTTTTCTCCTTTCTGTATCTAAAGGCAAAAGAAAGGCTTCAGATATGAAATCCTTTTCAACAAATGCTCTCATCATATCTAGAGGAAGGAGAACTAATCTCTTTGTACATAATAATTGAGATCATGAATTAGAGGGATTTACAGACTAATGAAAAGATCTGTTCTCCCCATGTATGTTCATGCTTCAATCTTGTCCCAGATCTGTTTTTACAGATATTGCCAAATTCGTCTGCCTCTCCTGTTTAGCCCACAGGGAAGCAGTGGGGGTAAGGCACAATGAAATTCCTTTCTAAAAACAGAAAAAAGAAAAAAAAAAAACACATGACCATACCAAATTGTGTAACCAAGCTACAGTATGCATTTTAATGATAACATCACAGTGCTCATTTTTTAGACCTTTATTTATTTATTTATTTGATGTGGCTCTGAGGATTGAACCCAGTGCCTCTCACATGCAGGGCGAGCTCTCTACCACTGAGCCACAACCTCAGCACCCCTACGGTGCTCATTTTAATTCCAGATTTTTTTTACTCTTTGTACAGATCACCTACATTTTAAAAGACGGAGGACAAAAGTATATTAAAATTTTTCTTGGTTTTCTTTTGGGCAAAGAATCACTTCGTAATGATGACAGCCATCATGGTCGAACCCCTACTATATCCATTCAGCAAATACTCCACCATATGCCAGGCACAAGAACTTCAGTGGATTCTTGTGTGGGTCTCTCCCTAGATTCCTTATTTACATACTTATTTGAAATCCTTACTGCATTCTTGTAAAGCATCCATTTCCTTGTTTTATAGGTAAGGGATGTTAAATTTAGGAGATTAAATAGCTAGCCTGAGGTGGCAGAGGTGGGATTACAGCCCACATCTGTCTGAGCAAAGAAAAAGATTTTCCCAGCATGCCACAGTTTCCTCCTTAAGTATCTACCCACCAGGAACAGATGCACATCAGCACTGGAGGGTTAGCTGTGTGAGGGAGGGCTGAGTGCCTCCACACTGTCGGGGACTGTTGGTGAGAGGCAGGGTGTTAGGTCTTCCAACCTCAACCCCCTTATTACCTTCGCCAACTGCACAGTCTTCAAAGACATGCAAAAACCCTATTGTTTCTCCTCCTCCCCCACATAAAAGCAGTTCAAAAGCTGCAAGTTTGTGGAAATTCCCCAAGGGAAAGTGGGAAAAAATGAGCTGAATCTCTGCCTTTGAATATCAGCTGTGTTGATAATCTCCGTCTTATCCTATCAGGGAAGATGAAACTGATCTCGCTAGATATATTTAACTATATTAGGAATAATTTCAAACCTAATCCAGGAAAAGATTGGTTTGTCAGATATAATCTAAATTAAGAAGGAAGACTTATTAAATTCCAATTGAAACTACTCATTCAATTAACACTTATTACAGATGAGGGTAGAACCCATTACAGAGGAGCAGGATGCGCTTCGGGTACTCAGTTTTCTCCAGATAATTCTTCCTGAATCTACCACTCAAATAAAATGAAGAAAATCTAAGAGAACAGAAAAGAGAATGTAATCATTTCTGTTCTGTGTCTTTGGGGTTTTAGTCTCCTCATCTATAAAATGACAGACTATTTATTTAAAGGGCCCCCTTCCAGCACAAGAGTTTTTTACAAACATTATCCCTTGATAATTTGCCAACATCCATTCCATCAGGGATACATGATATATTAGGAATATCAAATGGAGAAAATCTTGTCTTACAGATAGGCG